GGCGGAAACGTTAAAACCGAATCCGCAACCCGAACCTTCGCTTTCCTGCAAAACTTCGATCATACCCGATTTAACGAATTTGATCGTGATTTTGCAATCGCCGTATTCAGAATCTGTATAAATTGCCGCATCGCCGACAATTTCCGCTTCACCTTCGGCTTCACCCATATTCGCACTCATTTCGCCTGTTCCGTCTATGAAAGGATAAACAAGGTCGAATCTGATTTTTAATTTTCCTTTGCCGAGAGCAAGGATTTTGATTTCATTCCACGAACTTTTGAATTTTCCTTTGAAATAAGAACGAAAAGTTCCGGTAACTTCCGCGCCGCTGACGGTTTTGCGTGACGTTTGCGCATTTGTAGAAAAAGTGAAAACAATAGTCAGAAAAATAACTGCACATAAAAGCAAAAGTTTTCTCGTCATAAGATTTTTTGAGTGTTTCCTTTTCGTTATCGAATTTATTTGCTATATTTTGCCTAATTCTTTTCAAAAAACAAATAAACAAAGGGGAAAATTTAATGAGTTCAAATAGTGCAGTTTTGAATAATGCCGGAGGGCACGTCGGTATTGACAAGCATCCGAAAGGACTTTACGTGCTTTTCGGCACGGAAATGTGGGAGCGTTTCAGTTTTTACTCGATGCTCGCGCTTTTTACGCTTTATTTGCGTGACCCGAACGAAGGTTTCGGTTGGACGGCAGCCGAAGCGACGACACTTTACGCCAATTATCTGATGTTTGTTTACGCCAGTCCGCTTATCGGCGGTCTGATCGCAGACAGAATCACGGGTTATCGCAAAGCCGTCATTATCGGCGGATTCTTCTTCATGGCTGGACACGGATTGCTTTCGATTTCAGCTATTTGGGCAGTTTACGCCGCGCTGACCTGTCTTGTCATCGGAAACGGATTTTTCAAACCGAACGTTTCGACGATGGTCGGAAATCTTTATCCCGAAGGAAGTCACTTAAAAGACCGCGCTTATAATATTTTCTATATGGGCATCAATATCGGTGCTTTTATCGCGCCGATCATTATGGAAATCGTTAAAGCCAAGTTCGGTTTCCACGCCGCTTTTGCGGTTGCCGCAT